TCATCTACGGATCAACATTGACGATTGATTGAGATAGGCTATTTTTGGTAAAAATTGACAAGTCTTGGGAGTCAATGGCATTGAGGTCAAGTTAGACTGAGGATGTGTGTCACATTAGGGGAGGTGAATGGAAGATGGCCACAAAAAGAGAAGATTACAACACCACAAGGGACAAAGGTAGAAGGGAGATAGTCACATGGAGAAGGGAGAGGAGTTAATGGACAGATTGTGCATACAGAGCAAAGACGTGGGAGGAAAGAGCGACAGTAGAAAGTAGTCGAGAGAGGAGAGCAAGCGATGTAATGCATCGAGAGATGGAAGTCAGAGAGAGAGTCAAAAGCTTGGAGGAGAGAGTTAATACAGCACCAGCCGAGAAGACAAGGACGACGTAACTCCAAGGCAATAAAGACCATCATATGACTGAAGACAGAAAGAGAGAGGGAATGCATGGGAGACGATCAAAGAAAGAGGTTGTAAGAATGTGGAAGAGAAGAATGGACGATGGTGTTGGTGGAGTTTGCTACAATTTTGGTTGCAAGTAGTAGGCAAAGATGTGCAAAAATGATGGCATGAGGATGCATATCTACCAAGTATGTACATAACACAATGCAAGAAAACATTAACACTGATGCTTGTTGTTGTTGTGGTAGTAGTGGATCATAGCAAAGAACTAGGAATGAACAATATTCTTGACAAAAGAATCAAAATACACCTCTATAAACTCTAATTCTATGCACGAATCTTACATACTAACATATCCAAAATCCATAAATCCTAACTAGGGTCTCAAATTCCTAATTAGGATTTTCAAAACCTAAATTATAAAAAATAAAATACATAATTTTTAAAAACAAAACCATTTATATAAGTCTTTGTGGCAACATGTGTCTTGGCAAAATTTCAAAACTGACAAAAATATGATAAACTGAGAGTTATTTAGGACCAAAAACCTATATGACGCCCTTGTAATCCTAAACCGTAAATCCTAAACCTTGAAACCCTAAATCCTAAATCTTAAATCCTAAAATCCTAACCTCTAATCCTAATTCCTAAATCCTAATCCTAAATCTCTAAACCCTAAATCCTAATCTCTAAACTTATAATCTCTAAATCTTAAACCCTAAACCTAGACTAGATGAATGACGTGTGACAATATTCTAATGAAATGCTACTAAGGTTGCAAATTACAGGAGGTAGTCACATAGGCAACAAAAGCATGCTAAAAAGATAATGTGCATTTTAAGACAATGCTACCTTGCTCTTGTATTTGACTTCATTCTCTTTTTTTAAAACAATCAAGATATGTCTCTATCAATTCTAAGCATAGATCTCACATCTTCAAAAATATGAAACTCAAATCTCTAATTAGGATCTTCAAACCTTTAGTAGGATTTATAAATCTTAAATTTCAAAAAACAAAACATATAAATTTGACAAATAAAAGCATTTGTATAGATTATTGGAACAATGTATGCCTTGGAAAAATTTCAAAACCAAAAAAACTATGATAAATTGTAAGATATTTAGATTCAAAAATTTATAGGACACTCTTGTAATCCTAAACCTTGAATCCTAAATCCTTAAACCCTAAATTCAAAACTCTAAACTCTAAATCCAAAATCCTAAATCCTAAATCCTAAAGTTAAATATTGATATGAATTTTTAGTTGTTGATATAAATTGTTAATTGTTCATAGTCACTTAGTTGCAACAGTGAGGCTTGTTAAGATCAGGTTTAGGATTTAGGATTACAAATTGTAGATGGTTAGACATGATAGGAAATAGGAGAAATATAATAGTACAAGTTTTGATGGAATTTTGTTAGTGTAAAAAGAAATAAAAAGAGAAAATGTCAACGTTGCTATTAGATTTAGTGTATTGAGATGCCAAATACAGTTCTAGATAATATGTATTGAGCTTCAATTTTTAAATATTAAGCTTTAAAATATATATATATATATATATATACATATATATATATATAGATTAAAATTTATAATATATTGATATTTTATCAATAAATCAAGTTGATTTTTGAAAATATATAATACAATAGAAACTATTTAATTGTATAGAGTTGGAATTAAGAAGTGACTATACATTTAACTAGATTATATACTAACAACTTAAGTTATGCATTAATTATTAATTATAGGTCCAAGGTTACTCAAAAAAAATTCATACATTCAAAGATTATGCTTGTCTACTAAATAGGTTAGGATAAATTTCTTAAGTATTGAAATCCAATTATAATTCTTAAGTACTAGTCAACCTAACATTAAACACAAATAAACTAGAATAAATTTCATTGCTATTATTTATATAATAAACTTTAAATTCATATCCAAAAAACCAAAGATTAGATTTAAGATTTGAGTTCTTAGCATTTACACTTTATATAGATAGAAGCAAAATCTTTTTTTTTTGCAATAGTAAAAATAGTCTAATCTAAATTTTAATTCATATTTTGGACCATCTTCTATCAATATCTTTTTAAAATCTAATTATTTAAGTAAAAGGCATCATCATCATGAATACACATCAATAGAAAAAATTAGACATATAATCATATATTGTAAAAAATTGATTCTTACAATCTAATTAAGATGTAGATAGAAACACTAATTTTATAATGGATAGAAATAGTTTGATTAGATTTGGACCTCCTTATATCTACATATTTTCAAAATCTAATAATATTGTCATAACAAAGAAGATAAAGAAAAATAATAAAAATAAATAAATAAAATAGACCATCACACCTTCAAAGATTCTTTTGTTGTTATTGAAAAAAATTGATTTTTATTAATTTTCTTAAATTTCTTCTTAATAATAAATAAGATACCAAAATAAGTAATCAAACAAAAAACAATGGGACTTTAGATATACCAATACTCAAATCAAATGAAGTGCAACACTACTATGTACACCACTTCCACAAATATACTATATAGACTTAGTAACTAGTATAGCTCATTGATTAGTTAATTGATGAGCTTGGTTTATTTCTCCACATTAGCCTCCAATTCCTATATTTGGTCCTTATACTCCAATACTATACTATATAATACCTAAATCCTAAACCCTAAACTTGCACATTTGCTATGGTGTTGCCACCATCACCCCTTGCTTGACAATAAAGCTTCTACAATAGAACGTTGCATATCTCGACTTATTTGTATAAATAGGCTAATATCCAAAGATTCTACAAGCATTTCTATCTTTGTACAGACACTTTGATCTAAGAATTAGACTACAAATGGAACAGAAGGTAAATATTTGAAAAATAGTAGATCTTATAGAACAACATTTATTCCTATAGTATACTATATCTTTGTTGAGTTGCTTGTTTGAGTTGGCACTGCACCCCTTCTTTATTGTTGAATAAATTCTTTCATAATAGAGATAGTTGTTAAAACTATATCAACTACTTGTAATGTGTTCAAGATTTCTTTGTAAAAAAATAATTTGAAGTATTTTTTGTGTATTGATGCCAAGTTCATCAAAAAAATTACTTCAATAATAAGTTATTGGAATTATGTGAAAATAATAATAATAAATTATATATAAAATATATAAATAATAATATGATTAATAAAATTTTATGATTAAATTATATAATTGTTCTTCTTAAAGATTAATTATACAATAATAAGATCAAATTTTTAGCAATATATCAACATTTGTTTTCTTTAAGTCATCTTTGATTTCTTTATATTCTTTTGAGATTCTACTTTCAAGTTTTATAAGCTAAAACAAAATTCCAATAATTGATAGCTTATTAAACCTCACATAAGAATTTATTAAGGTTTAAGTGTTCTAATCAATTACATTTATAACTTAAAGTCCATCTAAATTTCTATTTTAATTCGTTTAATTTAATTCAATCAACAAAAATTAAACTTACATCATCTATGCTAAAATTTTACCTATAAAAATTCATCCATTTTATAGTTTTCATCCACTTTACAAATTCATCCCTTATTGAAAGATTTATCTAATTTCAATATTCATTTCTATCCAAGTTCTTCATACTAAATTCTTAACACTATTATATTAATCATTTTTGTCTCACTCTTAACTATGGCTTCAAGCTCTTGTATTTAAAAATGTTGAAAATCTTAGAAATTGCATTCTCTAGTACTAAAATAAGGATTTAATAAAAAATTTAAGAGTCATTCTTACATAACTGCAACAATATCTTGTGAGATGAAAATTATTATCTTTGAACAATGACATGGTCTTCAATTTCATACTTTACAATTCTTGTAAATGTAGGTATAATCAATAATATTGTAAAATATGTCCCACAATATGTTAAACAATCATCTTCAAACCACTTCCTATTTGATTGTTGACCAAGTTTTAGGGTTTAGAGATTAGGGTCTTTTCAAAGATTCTTTTCTTGTCCAAAGTTGACTTTGATTTTCAAGCTTTTTTCTTGCAAGGTTGTAATATTAGCTAAGAGTGTGCAAAACACATTTTGGACTTAATTGATGAAGATAAAGTATTCTGTTTGGATACTTTTATATAAAAGTGAAGTAGATGGTGTATGAGATACAAAATGTGGGTTGTAAGATTGAAACTTGGAACCATTGACTTGCATGGAAATGACTATCTTGAAGAATGCAAAATTCAATAGATCATTTGAAAAAGAAGTGATCAACAATGAAGGATCTCAACAATTGACATGAATTTTTTGAATAAGTACTAAATGAAGTTCAAAGAAACAATAATTATCTCCTTAAGCATATTTTTCGGCATCAAAAGAGAAATAAATTAATCTATTTATTTTAAATATAAAAATTAAAAGGCCTAAAAGTTTTTGGAAGGCCTAAAATTTATGTAAAATTGTGTATTATTTCAAGCTAAATCTTAAATCGTGGAATACCTCACCTACAAGATTTAACTTATTCTTAATCAATCTTCTTTAAAAGAACACACCTCACAATCTTCAGAATTGCACATTATTAACATTCAATTTAGATTCTAGTGTCAATATTCTATATTCATCTTCTGATGAAAAATCATATATTTACTGAGGACACCCCACCAAAGATCATCACTTTCACAAATAGCGTGCGAAGCGAAAATAGTTCATCTCAGGTCAGCTGGAAACACTACATTACTCAGTGTGACTAAACCGAATCAATGAAGTCAAAAATAAAATAAAATGTGTAGTTAACTGGGAAAGTCGTGACGTTTCCTCATCCCTACTTCTAAATTCTCCAGACAATGATTTTCTGGGGTTGTAAATTCTGCAATATAAGCATTAATGCCCTACCTAGTAAGCAATTTCAGACAAGGTTAAGCGCTTCCTGCGAACAGGCTTTTGGTACATTTTCTTGAACAAACAAGGCCTCACTCATTGACATTGCACTGCTGCAGGAAGGGATGATCATACTTTACATACTTCGACCAATATGGCTTGAATTTTGAAATAGCGATTTCCAACCATGGTTTCATATTTCCGTTCCAATGTATGACTGCAGCAGATTCGATATCCGTTTCTTCGATGGCTGGATTGTAGCCTAATCCAAGGACGTGCCATGACTTTTCCAGAGGTTGAGTCAGCTTATAGAACGTGATAAGGCCTGGTGGTAGAGTCCCAAGCTTCCACAAAGTTCGTTCCTCATTCTGCATTATCAGACTGATATTAGCAAACTTTGCCAGATAAAGTAGAAGCTTTCAATAAGCCTAACTATATGCATGTAAAAAAAATAATAGAAAAAAAATTGAAGCGAAATTTAGTACTCTTAATTCAATCAAACTAACCTTCAAAAGTATATTGAAGCACAACTGATATGCACAATAACTTAGAGATGATCCAGTTAAAAATGGTGTTTGCTCAAGGATATATGGAAATCAGAGGTTCACATACCATGCTTTGCCATTTATGGTAAATACCCGTGATGTCTTGGATTTTCCATTGCTTCAAATCAAAAATGTTCATTCCATAGGCCCAACCACAAGCATCTGATTTGAAGTTTCTGGCAATGAGGGGATTAGAAAAATTTAAATATGTGTTGAATCTATGAAAGCTGGGACCACAAGTTTCAACAGCCCCATTAACATTCCCCTTCAAGTCAATGTCCCAAAGCCCTGTGAGATCCTTTTGTACAACAATGTCGTCATCCAGGAAAAGTATCTTATCCAGCTTGGGGTAAACCTCTGGTAGATAGAATCGCAGGTGATTGAGCATAGACAAATACTTCGGGTTCCTGTACTTCAAGTTTGAAGTTCCCGCAGCGAGTGTGTTTGCGTTGTCGGCCTTGAAGTAATACTCCTTCATGGCAGCTGACTCCAGCTGCTTCAACACTGGACAATAGGAGGAATTCAGCCATTTAAAATCATCCACACTCTCAACTTGGATGGTAGCAGCACCGGGGGGGTTGAGCAAGAACCACATGCGCATGGCCCCATAGTTCAGTTTGTCTGTAACAACATGAAAGACATGCTTACTGGGATCCTGCAACAGCAGATAACACTTAGGCCTTGCAAAATAACAGAGAAGCTTATTCTCAAACCGCTAAAACTAAAAAGAAAATAGACCTATGCTATGTAAGAGCTTCGAACTATTCTAGAGCTGATTGGGTCAGCAGCGACCTGCCGGTAAATGCAGTTGGAATATGCAGCGAAAGATTATACCTACAATTGTAGCATACATAACCTAAGGATAAATGCCAAAGTATCACCTATCCCCAACAAGATATACGTGGCAAAAACTGATAAAAGTAGTCCTATTTTTCAAGACAACGTTCGTTTGTAAACTGCAAAATTGGGATTCTGCTATTTAGAAAAGGCATACCTTCGCATTGGTAATAGTGGAGTTCACCACAACTGCTGCTGCCAAAATGTTGTCAGAGAAAAGAGCATAGTGGAACAAAGCAGGATCTTCCAATTTATTTTGATCCGGGAACTCCCGATATTTTGATGCAAGGGCGTAGAATTCTACTGTCAGCCTTTGAGAGAAGCAGTGGAGTCCCTTGGGAATAGTTTTAGCAGCTAATTGACTCAAAAAAGTGCCCTGTTTTTTCAGCGAGCGGGCAGTGTCCTCAGCTGCTTGAAGCATGGCTCTCAGCTTCTTGACCATGACGCCTTTGTCGTAATCCTTTTCTCTCGCTTGAAGTAGAAGCTCACCCATGAGCTTCATCTTCTCATCAGCCCTACAAGCAGATATATAGTGCATCATTTCTGAGTGTTTGCAGCTTGAATTATGCACTGAAGTAGACTGCGAAAGCCAACACAAGAAAATCCGTAACCGCTGAACTTGGTGGCAAAAACTACCAAATCAAACCTAGAAAAACATACCCTAAACTCATAATATTTCATATGCAATCCTGTCACTGATTGCAGATGAATAGATCTACACAGGGCTAACATCACTCTCATGACAGGATAGTCTAAGGCAAACAGTGACACTTGGCTCACCCAGGTGGGAGCTCAGCGTCGGAAGTCACGTCACCAAGTGTAAGTGTATGCTCCTTGATTCGAAGCTTCAGATCCCTGACAAGTTCATAGTGCCCTCGAGACTGAGCTATATATGCATATACTCGAGCCATTATCAATTGGTCCCGCATCAACCTGGCCAAAGCGTCGGGGTTTTCATAGTCGGGATCCCGCCTCCAGACGCTGTATTTGGCAGTGATGTTATTGGTCACTACTTTGGACTTCTCTATAACTTCAGCTTCCAGCTTCCGAACTTGCTCTTGATCGCGCTGTATCAACGCAATGAGCCTCTGCTGTTGTCTCGCTAGTCTTTGTTGCTGCAACAGCAAAACAAACCTTGCCAGGTCAAACCTTGTCTTCTCAATAATGTATACAAACTAAACAACCAGTGAACAGTGAGGCTACTTTCAATCACAAGCTTGTTTCAACGTACCACTTGTGCTAGCATGTTTAATCTCAAACTTTAGATTAAAAATAATAAACTAGGCAAGCAGCGAGGCCAGATGAAACATACGTGGCCTTTGAAGGCTTCTATGCATCCACTGTTCATGGACATGAAAACAGCAGAGCAAAGCCCAGATTTGTATCACAACTGTGTCACGAATCACAGTGGTATAATAAGTACCAGAAAGATATTTTCATCCGAAATGATTTTTTAGTTATTAACGCAGACCTTTCTAGCTAGTTTTGTGACTTCATCATCCTGATTTGGAACGAATTTTATGATGCCGTTACCTGCAACAATGCCGTTAAGGAACACGTCAAGACATGACCATTGCAAACAGTGTAGAAAGTGACACATCTATCTTTCGTAAGTACTATGGTAGATGATATGACATAGTCATAAATCTGCAATGACACTTGCATAGCGTGACTACACGATGCAAGTTACTTTAGGCTTAAAATTGTATCGAATAAGTCTTCGATGCAAGGGTACCTCTAGCATCGGAAATTTCAAGATCCTTGCGCTCTGCAATGACGGTTGCGTTTTCCCCAGCCTTAGGAGCCTCAGTGCCTTCTTTCACATCATATTCCTTACCCTCAGACTCTTTGATCTCGAGATCCTTACTCTTAATATCGTCCTCTGAAACAACTCGAGAATTCTGGCAAGGGCATTAAGTTGACACCTTGAGAAGTAGCAAAGGGGTTCACAAAATCTAAAGACGGGAGAGCAATAATAATTCATAGAAAGAATTATGTACGTCGAAATGCAGAATAGATAAGCGTTGCATTAAATATGCAAGATGTGAACATCTTATGTATTGTTCGGGAGTACCACAACAGAAGTAATATGAGCTCCCAGTTATAAAAGTACCTGATAGGAGCTAGACTTTCTAGTCATGAAAGTGCTCTCCTCTTGCACCCATGATGAAGACAAATCCGTGAGGATAACGTTGAGATTCAATGGTTCATTATCTTCTGGATTCGCAGAAACAATATCAAGCACCTACATAGAAAACAAGCGAATACAGGATTTATAACAAGATCCACATAGATTTGGAGCTGCGATAACAAAGATTAATCACAAAGTTAAAAAAGTTAAGAAAGAAAGCCAGTTAACAAGAATTGAGAAAAAAGAAAAAAGAAAAAATGCAGCAAATTACACTCGAGGATGCATGATAAAAAGAAGACTGAATTTAAGCAAACTTCTTCAAAATGGTACAGCCGCTACATTACCTCTTTCGGGAACAAGGCATCTATGGCTTCCAGAGCAGCACGCCTTCTCATTTCTTCTGCTCTTGTCTACAGCGTACACTAAGTTTTAGTATAATATATAATATAATATATAAAAACTGTCAACTCAGGCATCCCAGTTCCGCGACGGTTGAAACAAAACATAATGGTCACTGCCTGCGAGTGGAACACTTTTTTTCCAGTGATGAAACCACATCATGAAGAAAAATGCTACATACCGAGAAAGCTGCATCATCGGAAGCTGAACCTGCACATAGAGCAACCCAATCATTCAAATAAAGTTTCGATAAAAGAAATGATAATAATTAATTTTAGAAGGTTCAAAAATTGCTACACAAGAAGAAAACATGAAGGAAGCACGGTATGCCACCCATTCTCTGAACCACCACCGTTTGATGAATCAGAAAATTAACACAAGAAAAAATAGAAAGCTCGGGTTTAACAATTGCAAGCAGCTCGCCATTAAGGTACTTTCAACCCCACACATAGACTGTGGTGTTAAGATAGGGTGATCAACCTTCCTGACAAATCATCAAAAAAACTTCTACCACACGGTTTCAAACTCTGTGAAATTTGTATACTCTCAATACCTGCGGAGAAAAGTTTTGTCGTCCTCGATGTTATGATGACAAGGGGGGCACAAACGGAGACAAGTAGGAGCGCAATAACAGAGACTCTACACGCCCCATGCTTGGCATTATTGTTTCTTGTCAGCAAGCCTGATGGTGCACCCCGTTTAAACGCCATGAAGAACTTACCCGAGACGCTTATAATAGCTACGCCCCTTACATGCGAGAATGTGACAGGCGTATTGACCTTCACTTCTCACCCTCCCTAACATGACTGAGCTGAATAAGGAACTTCATTTTTCATTACATACTCCTAAATATAGTTGCGTTGATAAGGATCACTACAGAAGCTCCAATCCGCTATCAGGAGAAATAACGCAGAGCTGCACAAACAGAAACATTCCATTACTTCAAAATCATATCATGGATCTACTGAATCCTCCTTTCAAGGTCACAATGTGAGAATAAAATCTGTGTGGTGAGGCCTGAATCCTTCCACAACCTGACGATGAGACGGAGTACCACAGACTAGGACTGAACATCATAGTGCATTGACGTGACGAGCTAGAAACAAAGTCACCTCCGATTACGTACACGGACGGTTATTTATAAACGAAGATGAAATTTATTTCACAAACTCCCAACAATAATCTGGCACTACACCCTTTCCAGAGTCCTTCTGGGATACTTAAAAGCGGCTAATAACAGTAAAGAAAAACAAACAAACAATACCTATGTATGTGTGTGTATGTATGTGTGTGTATGGATATATGTATATATGTATACATAGAGAGAGAGAGAGATCAAAAACAAACACATTTTTATAATTCGTGTAGGTTTTTCTTTTTTTCGAAACTAGTCTAAACAAAAGGTCCACGCACAAATGTGAAAGCTATGCAGCCGAAACAAAGCGCACAGATGAGATCCAAGAAGGCCCCGCAATCCACCTTAAAAACCGCTAAACTGAATGTTCGTACCTACACACCCAAGAATCTAGCAAAAGAGCGAGGATACACATACTAGCCATCTAATGACTCAAACCTCCACGCAAACGAGGTCTCATAACTGCTACCATTCTAAATGCCAGCCAACTGCGGAACCGATTGCAGACTCAAATAAGACGGAAACGCAAACCCCAACTCGACATTCTCACAATACACACCACGTGACAAAATACCGATGCTTGAAGGCTCAGCTGGAAAGTATGACCACACACCTTCCTCAAGATCCCCAAGCTGCAGTCAATTCTCAAGCCTTGACATCAGCACCACCCCCACCTCCACAAGAACAAACACCTCTCTCCCGCATTACTCGCGAATCACATCACGCAATCGCGGGCTGACAAATCCATCCAGCAAGAACGCCGACCTTCCTCGCAGCTGCGTCTCGACCATAACTAATCCACTCGACTCCACTTTCACCACCACCACCACCCTACGGAGCGAGCCGTCCAAAGCTTTTCTACTGCGTATCACAAGAAAAGTCCGTCGCCTGATTCCCTAAACCCTGCACCGCAGCATTGCCTTGACTCAGAGATAGCGAGGGAGGCATCATCGCACATGGAGGCAGGCACTGCGAGAAAACGGGCACAATGCGCGCGTTGTGTCAGTAATGCCGAACTCCTCTGCGCCACGCTCTATCACCGTCTTCGCTCGCAGGGATAGTCGGTCCAGGGTGTGACCTTAAAGCCGTGTGGAAAAGTATTCTCACGGTCCCAACGCAACCCTACACAGAAGATCTCTACTACACCTGGTTTACTGTACAGGTGACGCCTAGGTGTATGCATGGAGTGATTGGCGCATTCATGATTTGGCTCAGGAGCTCCTCCCTCTATCGCTTTAAACATACACATGTATATAGATATAGATACAATTTTATAGATACAATATTATACTGTGCAATTGACCCTCTTGCAATTCATCCGAACCCCTGGATGATGAAATTTGCCCCCTCTCTCTCACCCTTCTTCTATATACATTCACCCCTTGAATCACACTATTCTTGGAACTGTCTGACCCCTAAAATTTGATCTCCCTGGACCTTGGTAATTGAATACATCTAGCCAGCAGCACATGTGGTATGTACATGTTTGTCATCCTATTCATCCAAATTCCTAACCATTCATTGGATGGAAGTTGGTTAGCATAGATCAGTCTTGGCTGCCAACCAGATGAACTTTTATGTGCACATGAGAGGGAAGTAGCCATTGCCTGGACAAGTCTGCTGAAACACAAACACACACACATCCAGTCGTCCATACATCCATCTGCCCGTCCATACATCCATCTGCCCGTCCATACATCCATCTTCCCGACCATACATGCATTCATTCATTCACGTCAGCTGGATGTGCAAAGGGCAAGCAGAAAGAGAGTGACAGAGGTGCCTCTCTCTCTCACTCCTACTACTGCTACTACCACCCTTACTTCTCCATCTAAGCCCTGCTATTATAACAAATTGTTGCTTCACCTTCAGCCCCTCCCTCCTTTTCCTTTCTTTCTGCCACACTAATGCCATTTGAAGTGCCCAACTGGAGGCTGGTTAAGCCACTCTGGTTCCCCTCCTTTCTAGAGCATTCAACACTCACTGCCCTCCCAGCTCTAAAGAAGTATCATTTTTTCCAAAAATATGATTGAAGACATTCTCTTTCTGTTACATTTGCAAATGAGAAACCAACTTTGAATAAAGCAAGTTAACTGTGATACAGGCAGAGGTATGATTTGATAATGTAAATACAGTAATTAACTTACCCATTACCTTGTACACAACACAACCCAACTTACAAACTCATTCATAGTAGAGAAAAATCAATAATATCACAAGTTGAAAAAAGCTTGATTGTAAAGAATAATTTTGTTTTGTACACGCAAACAACATGCTGAGATTGGCCAACATGCAGAGTAGATATTACAATGTTACATATGTTCATTTAATTAAGTGTTATTTTATATGTGTTTTACATTCCAGCAAGATAAATTATGTTACTATGATTATTGTATTCTAAAACATTTTTTTAATAATTTCATTTTTATTTAGATATTTTCCTATTTTATAACAAGTAGGGAAGACCATTATTTTTAACTAATTAATTTAGTGATGGATTTTATTGTGTTTTATTGTTATACTTGAAATCAAATATTAACCAATTTTATTTTGTACAAATTAACATGCACAGATTTTTAAAATCATGATGACATATCAACAAATTAACACTGATTCTTTTTGTTCTAAGTATCAGGTGCATCTACTATGTACATGATTTCTTTCCCTAGATTTTCCTTCCTCCATACTGGTATTCAAGTTGGAAGGGAAGTGAAATGGTTAGAAATTAATGTCAATCAAGAGCTTCATCTACTGCTATATTTTTGTTGTAGTTGAACAATGTGCTACTGTTTGCAATTTCAAAAATTACTCTCTACATGTAGTGACACAACCACCCCAAAATCTCATCTGACTTAACCACAAAGTAATAGTTATTGTGAACTTTGAACAAGCTCCCATATTAAAATCAAATAGATATTTTTTTCTTTTTAAACATACACAGATTAATGCACCTTTGCAGAGGGTAGATTTGTGATGTGTAAAGTTTTATTTCTAAGAAATGTTAGGGTATCAAAGATCTGTGTGTTGACTGAACAGATTTGACATGTGTTCATGGTGAAGAACAAAAAGAAGCATTGTTTTTCAAAAACTGGGTCCTGCATGTTCATGGGTGGCACAGCTAAGCAAGTCTATGGTTCATGTCCAAATGGGAAGTCTGCTGGGTGAGGCTTTGGCTGAGGTCTGTGATGGTGATGAGTAAGTACCTTTCACATCCTTACAAGTGTGTAAAAGTGGGCACAGTAGGAGCAATGTAGCTGACCCTAAATCATGGTCAAAACTGCAAAGTCAAGCTGAGGTAGAAGCCAAAACCCAGGTCCCAAAAGTAGGGGAATGGGACAGGGGGAGGGGACTTGCTGGTTATTGGGAGGCACAGTGTTGAGGTGGTTGACATTGATCCCTCCTGGCCCTCCCTCACTGGAAAAAGTCGGAGTATTGATATCTGAGAATGTTCAAATCAAACAGTCACCAGCCCTAGTTCAAGGGAGCTTATCTACTTCTTTGCATACACAGTCAATGATTTGCATGAAGTCCAATTGCCACCAACTGTAAGAGCATACCTCTCTCTCTTTCTGAGGTCCAAAAACTGGTCTTGGAAGCAAAAAGGGTCCTCACAGTTACCAACTGACCCTTCATTCATGCAACAGTTTTCTGCAATTGTGCAGTTTTAGTTGTGCAGATTCAGCCAATCATGTCTCTATTGAGCCAGCCAACCTGGCTCTCAGGCTTATAAACCTTGTTTTACTGCTTGAGACCAGTGTCTTGATCATAAAACTGGTGGGAGGGAGGACCACCCACACAAACATGTGTCTCCTTTCCTACAATATTTAAGGAAGGTTTAATGTCCATTTTGAAAAGTCATGGTATAATAGGTTTGTAAAGATTTTATTTGGTGAGAATTTTATTTAGTTTTTGGAAGTTTTGGCCTTTGGTGATAATATAAAAAATTATTTTTAACACCACAACTTACTTAACTGAATAACCAGTAGAAGTATGGTCCACAAACAAGTTGGTTATACAAGAGTTGCATTGAAGTTCATTAAAATAAACAAAACCAGTATTAATTAGAAATAGGCTATAGTTGAAAGTTTTCACAAAAATTATGATGTGGGTTCTAAAATAAAACACATGTATCATATGCTAACAAAGAATATTTGCTATTCTTTTTCATTCAAACTTACAAAGAAAAATTAAAGAAGAATCAATATCAAATTACATGTATAAGCTCTTTAAGTTTAAAAATAATGTTGTGCTTGTAACACCTAAAATCATGTTTACCCTTTCACAAAAACACAGATCTTATTCAAATTTCCATTAAATTCATCTAATTTGAATTTTGAATTTTTTAAAAAATATTTCATATTTTATTTAGAAACTCAATAAGTTATTAAAACTAATGGTAAAATAATGTGTTGGTTAAAATAAATAAAGAAGAAATTAATCTTGGAACCTAATCAGTTTGGGCAAGCAATATGTTTAACAAGTATTCACATTTATTCATGTATATAGAACAAACTAGGCCTTAATGCATTAGAAATTCCAAAAAATTATAACCAAAATTTTTTCTTTAAAAACATTTTGTATACTTACATTATTTATCCTAAATTTTCTCTCTCTCTCTCTCTCTCTCTCTCTCTCTCTCTCTCTCTCTCTCTCTCTCTATATATATATATATATATATATATATATATAATCTTTTAGTTGAGATTTCTAATATTTAAGATTTTAAGGTTTTCACACAAAATTATTCAAGTCATTCAAATTTTAAAATAAAATCTACCATATAAGACATAAAAATATTTGAAAGTTTTATAAAAATACAAATCATTATTTTTTATTTTTATAAAATAATCATTACGACTTTATTCTAAAATATGTTTGCAATATTTTTAATTTTTAATTAAAAATTTAAAAGCTTAGTTTTAATATTTGATAGAATGACAAAGAATATGATAATTTTTATTTATTTTCTAGGATTTTAAAATATTTTCATGTCAAAGAATATTTTAAAATTTCTTCTTGATCATGATTCTTGATATAATTTGTAGTAAGTCTTAAAATAATAGAGATCCTAAAACCTATATATATATATATATATATATATATATATATATAGGATCTTTTAAGAATAAAATTTTAATTTTATTTAAAATATTTTTTTATTAATATATTTATAAAGCAAAGAAAAATTCTACAATTTTTTTATTCATTATCATCTACTAAATGCACACCACAATCTTGTTTAACATGACCACTAAATATATTTTAAGAAAATGGTATAAATATAGTTAATAGTTTTAAAACTTTGTTTCTTAGTACAAAACATAGTTTGCAACTTAATCTACTTACTCAAAAAAATTACCAATCTTACAAGAATTTAAAAATACTTTTTTGAAATAAAATAAAAAATTATATTAAAACCTTACAAATTGCAATAGAAGCACCACTTATTTTGCTATAATGAAACTAGTATTATTTTTAAAAATATTTTTTAATATATATATGTATGTATTTTTTTATTTAAAATTATGAATTTAATTTTAAAAATCATCATATTGTACTAATCTACAAAATCTAATAATTTAATACAAATGATTATTCTTTAGCATTATTGTTTCTTACAATTATACAATTAGACATGTTAAATAGATTTAGCTAATGCCTGTAACTTTAATTATGTAAGAAGTCATTTACCTCATTCTATTGTTTAATTCAATATTATCTTTACCAAATATAATCTTATTATTATTTTTATAGCACAAGTTTTTTAGGATATCAAAATTCCATAGTTTTTGTCTTTTCTTTAATTCAAATTTTAATACATTTATTTGTATTTTTAAAAAATCACTTTAAAAAATTTAACTAATATTTTTAATATATAGATTTGAATTAATTTATGAAATAACCATAAATGACGAATTTATATTATTAAAGACGTTATCCTTAAAAATATTCTCATAATATAGTAGTAGTATCAAAGACAGTAACTTGATGAATGCAAATAAATAAGTGAGATGTTTCTCAAAGAAAAAAGACTAAAAAAATAA